TTAAAAAAAGTGAAAAAAGAAAAGTAACCTGCAGATAATTAAGAGCTCTGCAGATAGCCCTAGCTGGTTTGGCTCAGTGGATAGAGCATTGGCCTGCAGACTGAAGGGTTCCAGATTCGATTCCGGCCACAACCCAGGCATATGCTCTGACCGGGAATCAAACTGGTGACCTCTTGGTTCCTAGGTCGACGCTCTGCCACTGAGCTACACCCGGCTTGGCTATTAATGTCCCTTTAAAAATGTCCCTGCCCTAGCCGGTTTGACTCAGTGGATAGAACACTGGTCTGTGGACTGAAGGGTCCCTGGTTTGATTCCGGTCAAGGGTACATGCCCAGATTGCAGGCTTGATCCCCAGTGTGGGGTGTGCGGCAGCCAATCAATGATTCTCATCATTGATGTTTCTATCTCTCCCTCCCTCTCCCTACCTCTCTGAAATAAAAGTACATTTTAAAAAACAAAAAGGTGTATATAAAAAAATGTCCCTGAACCATGAACTGAAGTTTTTATTTGCTACCTTATAAGAAGCTGGAAAGGTACCTTTTTGCAATTCCAGGGTTCAAGGGAAAGATTTAGATTACTGGGATAATTAACATACTCAAGTCTGGAAGGGACCTCAAGAGTTAACTATTCCCCTCCAACCACATTGATTGGTTGCCACTTGCACATGCCCCAACCGGACCAGGACCGGAGATCGTGCCTGCAATCAAGGTATGTGCCTTTGACTGGAATCGAACCCATGAACCTTCAGTCTGCAAGCCAACCTCTGAGCAAAATCAGCTAGGGCAGGAAATTCTTGCTATTGAGCCAGTTTTGTGTTGTTTTTTTCTGAGACTTCCACTCATTTGTCTAGTTCTACCCTCCCAGGGCCACAGCAAGCAAGTAAAATGGCCCTTCCACAAGACAGTCATTCAGATACTTCAAGTAGGATCATGCCACTATGAATCCTCTAGTCTCCAGACTCATAGTCTCAGTTCTGTCAACTTCCTTGACTGTGACTTAGTTTTGAGTCCCTTCGTCATTCAGGTCAACCTCTCCTAAACTTGTTTTAGCTTATTAATGTCCTTTCATGGACGGTCCCATAATTGACGGCACCTAAGTATGGTCTAACCAACTGGAACAGCATGAAGCAGGCCTAGCACCTTCTTTGTTCTGATACCTGGACTACACCCCTCTCAGACTCACATGAGGCACAGTTCCAATAGAGAACTTCCAGAAATGTTTTAAGTAATGTGATTCGGATGGAATAAGGGTACAGCTAGTCAAAGGACTCCTTTGAAGGACAACACTCCTTGAATATATGAGCTATTGTCTTTTTTTTTTTTTTGAAAGTCTATTCCTTTTTAACCACTTTGAACTAGAGTATAGAATTAAAAGTTAGTAGGAGACTTGGATGCTGCCCTGGAGGAGACTACTGTCTAGTGTTTGTTCTCTGAACATTTAAAGATAAAATGATTCCTCTTGAAGAGACATTTTTCTTAGCATTTTTCTAAGAAGCCAAATTCCAGTAACAACCAAAAAGTTCCATTCATCTGACAAATCTCTGTGCCACTTATTTTCCAGTTTAAATGTTGGTGGAGAAAGAAGGTAAGATGCTGTGTCAAAACTACATCTATAGCTCATACTCACTGATCCTTAGACTTTGCTGCCTCCAAAAAGGGGCTGTCACTCTGCTATGGGAGACAGCATTTAACTGTTGTCTTTTAATCTCCCTTAAACTAAAACAGCCCCCCCCACTCCAACTATTTTAGTTTTTATTATTACACTGGCTTTTTTGAAAGTCTGGCCCAGTTCTCTTGCATAATGTCTCACATTCTAGATCTGTTTCCTCACAATTAAATTTAAACATTTTCTAGTAGGAATACTTCTCAGGCGAGATTCCATCTTATCAGGAGGTACCTAATGTCACTATTGGTGATTCTAATTTTGATCACTTGATTAAGATGGCGATCTCCATGTCATTTCATTGCAATGGTACATTGCAATTTGTGGGGTGATACTTTGAGACCATGTGAGTAGTCAGTTTCCCCCAACCTTTTGTTCAATCAATTCCTGAATCAAAGATTGCCCTAGCAGTGACAAAATACTGATTTCTGTATTCTAGGCATTTCTCATTCTTCGCTGGCATTCTTAAGAGTCCCCCTGCCATGTTTTTAGATTATCACTATGAAGTCAGAGAACAATGACTATTTTAGAATAAATACAATTCAGTTAAATATCTTGTTAAATATGTGTGCATCTTATACATATGAAAAAATATATAAAATATGCTCATGTGAAAAACATGCAGATATCAAACAGATAGTTGTGTGATTATAGACTATCAAGGGATACACAAGAAAACTGGTTTCTCAAATGGGCACTGGGGGACAAGGATTGGAGGGAGACTTATTCTCCTTTTTATACATTTATTTCTTTTTAAAATATATTTTATTGATTTTTTACAGAGAGGAAGGGAGAGAGATAGTTAGAAACATCGATGAGAGAGAAACATCGATCAGCTGCCTCCTGCACATCTCCCACTTGGGATGTGCCCGCAACCCAGGTACATGCCCCTGACCGGAATCGAACCTGGGACCTTTCAGTCTGCAGGCCGACGCTCTATCCACTGAGCCAAACCGGTTTCGGCCTTTTTATACATTTTAACTATTACATCATTCTTTATTATCTATGCAATGCTAATTAGAAAAAAAACAAAATTATCAAAAAATATTTATATACTAGAAACACATTGAAATACTCCAATTATGCCAATACAATTCCAATTCAACAAAAGAAATCTGGACAAGTACTATTGAGGTTGAGCTTATAAGACTTATGTCAGCAGGGAAGATGGGCTAAGAAGGAGCAAACTACTCTCTCACGAAGAACATACAGCTAGTAAGAATGCTGAGGCAACACTTCCTTGGTCAAGATCAGAGCTACTCTTACAGAAATGAAGAGAGGAGAGGAGAGGAGTTCCACAGTGGCTACTGATGTAACTACCAAACATTCCCATCCGGGGTTCTGTCAGGGAAGCACTGCTGACACTGCTGAGAGAGTGAATTTCACACGAGGAAGGGCCAACTCAGGCAGAATAGGCTCCTCCTCCTTCTTTAAAAAAATATATATTTTATTGATTTTTTACAGAGAGGAAGGGAGAGAGATAGAGAGTTAGAAACATAGATGAGAGAGAAACATCGATCAGCTGCCCCCTACTGGGGATGTGCCCACAACCAAGGTACATGCCCTTGATTGGAATCGAACCTGGGACCTTTCAGTCCACAGGCCGACGCTCTATCCACTGAGCCAAACCATTTAGGGCTCCTTCTTATTCCCTTAGTGTTTTGAGGCCTTTTGGGTAAGGTTATTACAGGGTAGGTGCCTCTACAAGTAAGGACCATTTTTCAGAATACAGTTTTTCAGCCAAAAAATGTACACTTACCTTCTGAATGCTTTCGTCCACAAGTCCACCAAGGATGTAAACTGTGTTTAGATCAATATCTTCAAGAGCTAGTGAAGAAATGAAGGCTAATGAGATCAAATCTTTATAATTTCTAAATCCAAAGAAAAGTAAAAGGAAAGAATGATAAAAGTAGGAATTTCATGAAATAGAAAACAAAGATAGATTTTCTAATCCTTTGAAAAAACAATTAAATAGATAAACCTTTGGCATATCTTATCAAGGTAAAAAGGTAGTAGACTCAAATCAACATTAGGATTCAGGAAGGAGACAAAATTAAAATTACAAAGGAATGTGAAATAGAGAATATGAAGATCAACTTAATATCAATAAACTTGAAAATTATGTGACATAGATGATTTTCTAAAATAGATGATATCTATCTAATTGATCCAAAAGGGTCAATGGAGGGAGCTGACCAGGGAAACTAGCTCGATACAATGCTACATGATCTGTGCAGTCAAGAACATACCATGTTCTGAGTCAGGAGTCAGGTACACAAGGGTTTCCAGGGGGAATACACTAAAGCAGTCTTCTTCTGTTATGTCTAGCTGAAAAATACGAATAATCCAATGTACTGTGAACTAGGTTAAGACATAACCCCACGGTGCAGCAAGGGGCTATATGTCTGACAACCTGTTCTTAGAAAGTGCTCAGCTGGGGAGGGGGCGTAGAAAGGCACAGACATGCAACCCTACGAAATGAGGCAGAAAGTATATGGGGCCCTATCAGACATACAGGGAGCATACCTCAGGACTACGGATGAGGGAGGGACACCCCCAGAGACAACCTTGTAGCGAAGGGAATGCTGGAACTGGGTTTCTGAAAGGAGGTGAGACTGACACAACAGGAAGGACTCAAAGTGGAGGGAATCATACTAAGAAAGACATGGACAAGGGATTACATGGCCCTGAGATTGGGTCTCTTTGGTTCACGTGCAGGAATCAACAAATATGTACAGAAGAAAGTAAGGTTGGAAATGGCTGCACTACGGGAGGGACTGTTAAGACAGTAACAGCAACCGTGACTGATTGTGCAGCACTGCATGGGGCACTCTTCACACTCATCGCCTCCTTGGACCTCCCTGGGAAAGGCCACACTGCCCAGTCTCAGCTCACAAGGGCATGTTTAGTGGCATTTCTTAGGAATTGATCTGGATTCTTGCCTGTATGTCAATCACTACACGTATGATGAGATCCCACTGAAAGTTGAAAAGCAACTTGGTATTCCCTAAAACTCATCTTAAATCCATATTACTTCCATAAGGATTCTTTCTCTTCCTCCAAAACTGTTTCCTAATTCTGCATCACTGAGAATAAGAAAGGACTCATGGCACTTCCCCAAAACATCCCTGGAGTACACAGTCTACATACATTATATAGGACATAAAATACAGTCCTATATACTTTTTGCCAACATGGTGGGATGAAGAAAAAATTTAAATATAAGAACTGATAAGTGGTTCTCATATTTAAAAAATTTTTTTAAGTTGTAATAATGAAAACACAATTTCTCAAAATATGAAAAAGTAAAAATATTGCCCCACAACCTATTTATAGATGACAATTCAAATAATATGCAAAATGAGGCTTACCAGGTAACTAGAAAAGCCATCATTCATCCTCAAACACTCTTTATACAGGGGACTGTCTGTTGTGAATCCAGTGAGGTAGATCCAAAATGGCCTGTCCGCTTTCTTATTTGAACCATACAACCTTCGGATCTGTCCAGCCAGCCTGCTTAGTTCCTTCAAAGAAGTAAGAACAACTTAGGGTGGAAACGCCCTCTTTTTCTAAGTTCATTGTCAATAAATGATTACTCAGTAAGTTCACTGAGTGCTATTCTGGAAAATCTCATGAACTAGAATGACCCCCTTCACTCCAGAAGTGAGTACATGCATGTGTGAGTACACATTACACGCCTGGCATCACCTTATAGATGACAACTGAGGTAATGATACTAACCAAGAAACAGTGAGTTAATGGGAAAACTGAGACTGCCCCCTCCTTCAGGACCTGTCATTATATATCTAATATGATATATGAAATTGTTCTTTTAGCTTTTATCTAAAATCTTACCATTTATTAAAGAGAAGTTAGATTACTATGCAGGCATTTTTATACTCCATCAAACAAACTTGGCACCTTCTCCCTTACTCTAGGAGATGTAAAGGACTGGGAGTTTTAACTTTCCATCCTGATTCAGAAGACCTCACAATCTGGCCTGTTTTTGTTCATAGTGGAGAAAAGGCTTTGAGTTTGATTTAATCTGGTATCTCAATAGAAACAGTAGAAAATCCTTGGTTGACCTTTTCAGAGGGCTGTAGTTAGAGATTCCCACAAATCTTCAGTTTTCCTAATTTCTCGGAAAAACAGGCAAACCCTAGCATATCTATACTAATAAAAGGGTAATATGCTAATTAGACCGGGAGACCTTCTGGACGTCCTCCCAAAGCCATGGTGGCAGGGCCAAGGCAGAGGGGGTTAGGGGCGATCAGGCCAGGAGGGGAGGGCAGTGAGGGGTGATCAGGCTGGTGGTGGGGGCCAGTTGGGGGTGAGCAGGCTGGCAGGGGGGGCCAGCTGGGGGCGATCAGGCCGGCAAGGGGGGGCAGTTGGGGTGAGCAGGCCGGCAGGCAGAGTGGTTAGGGCAATCAAACAGGCAGGCAGGTGAGCGGTTAGGAGCCAGTGGTCCCGGATTGCGAGAGGGATGGCCGACTGCCAGTTTAGGCCCGATCCCACCAGCAGTCAGACATCCCCTGAGGGGTCCCAGATTGGAGAGGGTGCAGGCCAGGCTGAGGGACCACCGGCCCCCTGCCCCACCACTAGTACTAATACAACAGGGGTTTTGGAAAATAGAAAAATTTGTTTTGTAGGTTAAGGCCTAAAATTAAGGCCCAATAAGGTTTGCTGCCTTGACATCTAATGAAATTGGATGAGCCTTGAATGGCCCAACTGCAAATTCCTCTTCCAACTCTGCTCCCATGGATAAGGTCCCATAGCCAACAATCCTTTTTATCCAAGGGACGAGGTGTAGTTCCTGATTATCCCTGAGCAGTGGGTTTTAATTCCCTGCCAGCCCACAGAATTACTCCAACAACCAATCCCATCTTCCTGCAGGAAGCAGGGGGACCCACCCTCTTGATACTGCAGAGCCTGCCCCCACAGTGCCTGGCTGTTCATTCGGTTCCCATGTGGCCCTGCATGGCATGCAATGCCATCCTCCCCCAAGGCTGAGTATATCTATATATATAAAAGCCTAAGCGACGGTTACAACCAAACGACCGGAACGACCAAAATGACTGGAACGACTGGTTGTTATGATGTGCACTGACCACCAGGGGGAAGATGCTCAACGCAGGAGCTGCTCCCTGGTGGTCAGTGCATTCCCACAGCCAACCTCCCCTTACTGGCCAACCTCCCGGGGGTGGTGGCGGTAGATGCGGCCCCTTACACAGGAGGGCCTTGGGGCTGGTTTCATCCCTCCCTCCCCTGAATTGGCCTGCCACCCACCCACCATGGTGGCAGCACAGCAAGTGAGGGAAGGAGGGGGGAAGAGGTGTGAACCTCACAGTGGCGGGGTACCAACGGGGGCGTTGGTGTCCGTTCCTTCTGCACCTAGCCTGTCGCCTCTTCTCCCAACCCTGCTGGAGCCTTTGGACCCAATTGGCCTGGCTCCGATCAGCCATGATCGCCAGCCAGGCCTAGGGACCCCACCCGTGCGTGAATTTCGTGCACTGGGCCTCTAATGTGACTAATAAACTGCGCTTCATCGTATCTGTTCAGTGTTGAGTGCCATGTGTTCAGCCATCCCCAGAACCCCAGAACCTGTAGGGTGAATGGGAGATCACTAAAACACATACATTGAAGGAAGACATGCTACCAGGTTATCTCCACACAACACAGAACAAGGCAAATATCCCTCTCCCCAACAGAAGGCCAAAGATTTCATCTCTGGAGAACTGAAACTGAAAGGCTGTAACTAGACTGGGGACACTATGAACACAGAGGCAAAGGGTTGATCGGGAATTTGGAAACTAGTGGATGTTCTACCTTCTTGGACATGTGGTGGGTCATACTTAAATCGATACAGAGTCTTGGTCCTGAGTGTTTGGCTTCCAAAAGTTTCTCCTTAGTTAAGGATCTCAGAAAACGTTTGCTGTGCTGGGGGTAGATGCCTAGAGTGGAAATATCAGAAAAATATATAAGTGGGAAAACAGAGGAATAATATTCAGTAAGAAACAAATCTCCCAGCCTTGTGAGTACTATTTCCATAGGAAGAGAAACTAGAAACTTGAAGTTTGTGCCAGGTATTCATTCATCAGGCAGTTTAGGTATAGCAGAGGGGTGAAGACTGTGCGCTCTGGAGCACTCTGCTGGGTCTAAATCTAAGTTCAGTTTGTTCATTTATTACTCGTATCAGCTTAAGCATGTTATTTAATTTCTCTGAGCCTCAGTATTTTCACCTACAAAATGGGGATAATAAAAGACCTACCCTTTAGGGTAGTCAAGGTAAAATTCTTAGCACTGAACCTAGCACATAGCTGTTGGTACCATTCCTTCTACTTCTGAGCTTATAAACACATATGTACGCTATATAGTTTACATCTGAAAGGCAGACTTCAATTTTGTTTTCTTTGATACTTTGATTCCCAACAAAATAGGACTATAGGTCTCACCTCCCAGATGTTTGTTTTTACTTAAAAACAGTATTACTATTCTTCTAGGAACATACAGATACCAGTTTGCTAACAAATAAATATAATTATACCAACAACCTGATTTATTGTTACCTGAATTTTCTGTACGATTGGCTTTTCTCCTTTCTTTTTCTTGCTTTCTTTTGCTCTTCTTTGCTGCAACTATCTTTTCCCAGTGTCTCTGTTTTCTTTGGACATTTTTCTTAGGTTATCCAGAAAACAAAATTGTTTGAAAACTTCATAAGCACCAAAAAGGAAAATGAATATTAGAAACAGTTACTGATTTTTTAAAAATTTAGATATGAAGTTAGGAGAGAAAAAGGATGGTAGATTTAACAACAGAGATGGACTAGATTGTGTTTAGAGAAACCAGAGCCCCAGAAAGACATGTGACCTGTCAGGCCCAAAGGGGAGTTTGGATTTTCTGACCCTTCTGAGGTGTATCAAACATACCTCTTGATCTGAAGCCTTAAACCAGTTAGCAGGGAATTCAACCCTTGGGATACACCAAACTCACTCCCAGTCTTCTTGTTACCAGTGTCTACCCATAGAACAGGGGTCTCTGGGACATTCCATCATCTCACAGCCCATGGCCACCCACTGCACTCACCGAGCACCAGGTGGCGCTGTCTGTGGGCAGGGTCTCCCTCTCCTGAGGCTCACACTCCACATCCATCTGTAGAAGCTGGAAGCTTTCAGAGAGGCCATCTTCGCCTGTGTCCTCTGGGATGGCTTCCTGCAGCACGTGTGACTCTGTTTTCTGAGCACTCCCTTCCGACTTCCAGTCCATGTGCTTAGCCCTCTGTCCTTTCACCCAGATTGGAAAAGGCACAACTATGTGAGACATTACATTATTGCACTTACAGAGCTATTCCCCTACATCCAAGTGACAGACAGCGTTCTTGTGTTACTGAAGGAGAAGTGCGTAAAATACTAACATGGGTTTATTGAAAAGTACGTGTGTCTTCCAGAGAAATGAGTCAGCACCGAAACGCTTCAGTAGTAAGGGAGCCAAATCCACTTCTCAGAACACAAGCACAATCCTGACACCTCGCAGCAATCGGTGACTCACTGCTGCGGTGACACAGAAAACCAAGTTATTTATCCTGTTCTTTGAAATCCACTCATGAGTTGAGGGCGGGACAGAGATGGCAAAAGCCACCTCCCCTCTATTTCAGTTTATTTTCAAAACCATTCCTTGCCCTGGCTGGTTTGGCTCAGTGGATAGAGCGTCGACCTGCGGACTGAAGGGTCCCGGGTTCGATTCCGGTCAAGGGCATGTACCTCGGTAGTGGTCACATCCCCAATTGGGGGTGTGCAGGAGGCAGCTGATCAATGTTTCTCTCTCATTGATGTTTCTAACTCTCTCTCTCTCTCTCTCTCTCCCTTCCTCTCTGTAAAAAAATCAATCAAATATATATTTATTAACAAAACAAAACAAAAGAACCATTTCTTTATGATGAAAAGCAAGTATTTATTGAATACCTACTATATGCAAAGTCCTGGACATCCTTGGAGGATGAAGAGTGAGCCAAAAAATATGGCAAAGACGCGAGAGGCGGCGTCAGCTGCTGGGGAAGCTGCCCTCACCATGCCTCTGAGCTGCCTCACCTGCACAACAGGGCGTCGGGCAGCAGCCACGATCCTTTCCCTGTAAAGGCAACTACAGAGAGCTCAGCAGAATCCTGCTTATCTATGAAGTGCAGTTAACACATCAGCTGGACCTATTTCCGGAATGCAGGGTGACCCTTCTGTTATTTAAAGATGTAAAAAATGCTGGAGACTTGAGAAAAAAGGCCATGGAAGGTGCTATTGATAGTTCATTGATAAACCCTACAGTGATTGTCGATCCATTTCAGAGACTTGTGGCAGCAAACAAAGCAGCTCATCTCTACAAACTAGGAAAAATGAAGACAAGAACTCTATCTACTGGAATTATTTTCAACCTGTCCCCAAATAACAATATTTCAGAGGCTTTGAAAAAATTCGGTATCTCAGCAAATGACACTTCAGTTCTAATTGTTTACATTGAAGATGGAGAAAAACAAATAGATAAAGAAGACCTGATAGCTAAGGTAGAAGGTCAGCAAGTTTCCCTGAAAAATCTTCCTGAAATAACAAATATTACAGAAGTCAAAAAGATATATAAACTATCTTCACAAGAAGAAAGGATTGGGACATTATTGGATGCTGTCATTTGTAGAATGTCAACAAAAGATGTTTTGTGAAATGTCAGAAACATTAAAAATGTTCAGCATTTATCAAAAAAAAATATGGCAAAGAGTGGCCCCAAACCAACCAAGGATCCATCTAGGTTGCTGCTGGTGATCTATCAAAATCTGTTTTTCCAAATTACATATTCATTCCCTCATCTCAGTTCAGTATCATTGCAGCAGAAAGCCACAGCCACCAGTGAGAATGTTTAATATCCCTCAAAGTGCTAAGGAAGAAAAATATAGAGAACCACTCTAATAGCACTCCTAATGAATGTCACAGTTTCAAAGTGGTATTCGATATCCTTAAGATGAGTAAAAATGCTCTAGTCTACAGGTGTCACAAAGAATAGTATGACCCTTGCTTGTGGCGGCTCCTGAGTCCATGTGCTACCACCAACTTAGAAAAAGTGTTACCTCTGAACAAGTAAATCTCTGTAATATCCACATGGTAAAAAGATTTTTATGATAAAAGTCATGATCTTTATTCTGACCCTTTCCACCTCTAGAGGCAACTCTTGTTAACCAGGCATTTTTAGTTCTGGTGATTAGCCCCTTACTCTGAAATCACATGCTTACACCATTACTTCTTGATTCATCAACTCAATTCCCTATGAAACACTAGAATTCAAATACTGAAATTAACCCCTTTTGCCCTGGCCAGTGTGGCTGTTTGTTGGAGCACTGTCCTTTGCATTGAAGGGTTTGGGTTCAATTCCTGGTCAGGGCGCATACCCAGGTTGTGAGTTTGATCCCCACTTGGGGCACGTACGGGAGGCAACCAATAGCTGTGTTTCTGTCTCTCTCCCTCTCCCTTCCTCTCTCTCTGAAGTCAATAGGGTGAGGATTTAAAAACAAAATTAACCCCATTTTATTTTTTGTGTCTGTTAGTTATCTTAATCTTTAAATTTTTTGAGCCATAATTTATTTAGAGTAGAGAGATTTTTAAGATTTGAAACTTATGTTCATTTTCCTGCCTAGGCTAGAGTTTACTTTTGCTTAAAACTCTGTTCTTTAATAGTCAGTACACAGTTTAGTATATGTATATATACCATTGACTCTGTCACTATGAGTTTATGGTATACAAAAAATGTAATAGTGTACATAATAATCTAGAGAAATTAGGAAAATACCAAGTTATTCTTAAACATTTCAGAAGCACTGCACTGTTCACATACGAATAGTGATGTTAGTTATAAATATATTTTTTAACAAAAGATATCCAGCCCTAGCTGGTTTGGCTCAGTGGATGGAGCGTTGGCCTGCAGACTGAAGGGTCCGGGGTTCGATTCTGGTCAAGGCACATGCTAGGGTTGTGGACTAGATCCCCAGTAGGGGGTGTGCAGGAGGCAGCCAATCAATGATTCTCTCTCATCATTGATGTTTCTATCTCTCCCTCTCACTTCCTCTCTGAAATCAATAAAAAAAAATTTTTTTAAAAGATACCTAGCTCCCTCCAGATGACTGAACAAACTTTGTATGCCAACCAGCAGTGTCATCTGCATTTTTCTGCACTTAGGCATTCAAAACAAGAACACACGAAAACTTTAAAATAAATTGGTCCAACACCTAACAACCTGAAAACAAATGTTAAATGAATGCTAGTTTGTTAACAGCCATGTGATCTCTTCCTCCTCTGAACTCCACAGTATTTTGCATTCTTATTTGTGTTTGTCCATTCACTGAGTCAGTAAATATTCATTGGCCCTAGCTGGTTTGGCTCAGTAGAGGGTCAGCCTGCGGACTGAAAGGTCCCGGGTTCGATTCTCGACAAGAGCACATACCCAGCTTGCGGGCTCAATCTTCCTCCCCCTTCCTCTCCTAAATCAACAAAAATATATTTAAAAGAGACCCACCTCAGAACAGAAGACTCACAGGATGAGAGTAAAGGGCTGGTAAAAATTTAAAATAAATCAATCAATATTAAAGTTTAAAATAAATCAATCAATATTCATTGAGCTCCTCCTCTGTGTCAGGACCTTTTGGGGAATGACTGGGAGGCAATGAATGTCCTCCCTGGAGAAGTCTGTCTGAGGAGAAAAGAGAGATAGGGGTGAAGTAACGGGAGGGGGTGCAGTTTTCTGTTGCTGTTTTAACAATTGGAAGGTTAATGCTCTCATCTTTTTTCCTACCAAACTGAATTCTTTTTCAGAAGGAATATGTAAATACATCTACCTAAACACTGAACAGTTCAAAAGATCTTTGAACAGCAGTGTTTAAATAAATACTTGGTGAATAAAAAGAGTGTTATA